GGGGACGTTGGTGGCACACATAGATGCAGGCTCGGCCACCAGCCCCCTTCGTCCGATCCTGACTCTGTAGTGATACCGGGCACAGATGGAGGAGGGAAAAGAGAGAGAGAGAGAGAGAGTGCCGTAGATGCATCGCAAGTCTACTATTACTTAAAACGAATTCACGCCCAATTCACCATAGAACTGCCGTAGGGGGGCTGTGGCGGTGAATAAAATGCGCGTGATGGCAGGATGATTATGATGCAGGCTTTTACCTCTGCCAACGGCCTTTGGTTGCGCCGGAAGAGAAGTCAGAAAAACTTACCGCAAGTTTTTGAGCGAACTCCCTGGTTTCGATGCCGAACCACTCGAGGACATCCACTGCGGCCATGCATCGGTCAAAGAGAACCTGCCTCTCCTGATCGGAAAGGCCAGCCGCAGGATCAATGAGTGTCATGCAGTCGAGAAGGTCTTGCAGCACAAACTGGACAATCGGTTCTCTCTGTGAGTCCTGCAGTACATTTTCACTGTAACAGAAGTCGGCCGATACAGTAATGGCAGCGTCATCGGCGACTCATGAGAAATACCGTGCGTACCGTTTCCTATTATATTGTTATAATGTGTAATTTGTTAATTTGACACCCCTAGCAGTACACGGACAAATTGAGGAAACTCTGTAAATAAATCATAACTTCTAAATACATCCTCAAGACTACTTTGAAGAGAGCTATTCGTTTTGTGATACCTAGCATAGATTAATCACGCTGAGAGAATCAAACTACGTAATTTGTCAATCTTCCCTTGAAACATTAATTATTTACGGCAACAATAAAAACACGCGTACACTTCGTTGTAAAATATGAGACGCAGAAAAAAATGGCTGCCTGAGGGGGCTCCCCATGAAAAATCAAGACACAGTGGAACACGAATTTTTCGGTGCACAATTGGACTGGTGTAGGGCTACGTCCACGTGAACAGAACATTTTAAGAAAGTGCAATGAAGGTCCACTTTGTTGGGCTGCTAAATATGGATAAAATTTTCAGAAAGAAGTGCATAGTACCATGGTAAGCAGGCGTTCGTTTAATTTAAAAAAAGTACTGCAGTACCGAATAGTGAGTTGCAGAGCGTAGTCCCGGAATGGCCTGAGTATATTTAGTAACGACTTCATGGAAATGAGTGATTTCCAAACAAACAAACAAAACGCGTACAGCTTTTGTTAAATGCTAATTTTTAAACTGGTTTGACTTGGCCTCCCACGTCTTTTTATCTCCCCAAGAACCGCGCCTGAAGATTCCAGCTGCTAGGATTTTCTCAATTACCATAAGTCCCTGCAATATACCAGCTGCTTTACGAAATGGATATAAAATAATATTACTGACAAGATGTAGAGTAGTAAGTTTAACAACGCACAACGTTCAGGGAGGAGGATAAAAGGGAATACGTGTGTTCGTTTCTGATGGCGCAGTCGTACTTAGGGCTGTACTGGTTAAGTTTCCTCTTAAACCTGTCTAAGATTGGGGAGCTGAAGATTGATGCACGTAGAACATCCAATGCTTGAATCAGTCCATTGAAGAAGAAGAAAAAAAACCTCTGTACAATCTTACCCCAGTCACACGCAGTATGAGAGTATGTTCTCTCACAATAGTGGTAGCGGTCAGCTCAGAGAAGTTGTCGGATGCTGGGCAATACTTCTGATCTCGTAGCATGCAATACCTTTGTATCTTGTCACTGCGTACTTTTCAATAGTCCAATGGAAACAGGTGAAGACTGGACAAGTGTGTCTCGTAAGGCGGTAGCTTGGGCCTTGAACAAACATGGTTGTACGTCGTTGTGTCTTTTCAATGGGGCTGCGATCTTTGCCAGTACACAGACTTCAGGCATAAATGAACGCATTCCTCGACATCATACACATCAAAAGCGATTTTAGCAGCCATGACGCGATGACAGTTGGGATCTTGACATTTTTCAACTGACAGGATAACTCGATCTTCCTTTAAAATGGTTTTCAGACCGTTCATAGCAAAGACTCCGTTGAGAGTAGTTATACGGGCAAAACGTCAGTAATTCAAGAAATGACATGAAACTAGGATTCCCATCTCTATTCCAATTGTGAAGATAGATGCGAATAATCCCATTTGCCTTAGAACTCTGCAATATTCATTTACGCTGCGTAATCAGGATAGAAAAGGGAACTGCTGATCCCACGTGACTCTAAAAACGCCAGAACACAGTCGACGGGGCCTGTAGCACAGGCTTAAATTATGACCTATTTGGCGTATCTGTTCAATAAGCAACAGAAGCCGAGTGCTAACCTGAAGTCTTCCAGCCTGGAGGGCGTGAGGATCGACTAGTCGATTACGATATATCAAAGGGAAATTCATACTTCAATCTCTCATCCGCCCTCTTCGACCACACATCTCCAATTATACACCAAAGGAAATTTTAAAAAAAGATTAACAGTCCAAGGTAAACTAACTCTAATATTTTTGCTATTTGCCGGTAGGCTTCTGCCGTCTGCTCATAGTTCTCGGGCAGGGAAAGCCATAGTACACGCTCTGCCGCGGACAGCTTCTTGATCTCATTCATCGCTCGTTTGAGTTCATCCAGCAGAGCGTTCACATAGATGCTCCGCAGTTTCGGCTCTGCCGCGAGGGTCTTGCGCTAAAATCAAAAATTCGATGAAAGCGTGATCTGCGGTGTTGTATCCTCCTTGCGAGATCGCTTTCGTCTGGGATGAATAGCAATAAAATGATTACTTCCAATTTTTCAGTAGGTTGAATTTCCGCCAATTCGAGCACTCCCTTTGTTATGTTAACTAAGAGTTGTTCCCGTGTTGTTATTGGTCTATAGGCATCCTGTTTTGGCCAATAGGAATTTATGTTGGTGAATTCTGTTCTTTCCTATGCTGTTTTCGCATATTTTTAGTTTAGTAAAACAATTACAAGTGGCTGTAATTTATTTCCTCGTGTGCACTTATCACGCATTGAATACGCCTTAACCAATCATTATACCTTTAACCACGATTTCTGCAAGAAAATTGGGCGGGAAAAGTTTTGCCATTAGGCGGCCTCACGAGAAAGCTACCGAAATCACAGATAGGGAGATTCCCGATCAAAAGCATTGCATGTCTGCACACTTTATAATTCGATGCCATCCAAAAGTAACCGAAACGTTTTACCTTCAAGTGGATGACCAAAGAACACTCAATTTTTATACATTTCTACGCAACGCCTTGCTGCAAACTATACCGTACTACACGTGCCTGGAGGTTCTTTACGTCTGAAATTCATTTCTTTCAAACCCCAATCTTTGGTGTCATTTTTCGGCACTGCTGCCCTGTGTTTGGTAGTTGGCGTCCGGAGCAATCTACTGGTTTCTCCGACATCATTTCTTTACCGGCAACTGCACCAGGTCCAATAAACTACTCCAGAGGTTTTCTGTCCTGGCCGTGGGCTTTTTGGTCTCAGTTAGCTGAAGCCTATTGTTTGCCTCCAGTTTGTTTGCGATTTCAACTCCAAGTGGTGTGAGAAGGCGATCGACGGTCTCCGAGACGTTTTCGACGCACGGAATCGCTCGCCAAAAGTTGAGGTCGGTGAACTTTTGTGAAGCAGAAATGTCAAGCGACTACATTTTTTTGTCTCAGCAATCTCGTCCATTTTTTCTCAATGACCTCCTGGGACTCGTATTTTCCCTTGTATCGACAATTCTTTTAACCTTCAATAACTAACTACGCATTTCTTACATGTCTTTTTTTACTTAATTGGTGGGCTTGCTAGACACCGAAATGTGTACGGGAACTGCAGAGCTCAAATTGGGTCATTTTATGCCACAAGTAGCAACGGTGAGTCATTTTATAGCCGTAAAAAACGTCGTATTGCTTACCCTTGTAGGAGTCATTGCAGTCTTGAAGAGGTTAAGGAAGTTAAAAGTCTTTCCAACAGCACCTTTCATGCCAACCTTAGACGGAATAGAGTCTATTTGATTAAGCATTAAGCTCCGCATCTCTCCCATTGTTGCAACATCCATTTCGAGTATTCTAAGAGGGCAGGAGAGACATAAAATTAGCCGCAGTTAACCTATTAAAGTGATATGTGGAGCGTCATGAAGACAACAAAAAGACTATGCTGATAGGAGTCTGCTCTCGGTGCATTTCTATTACCGATGTTCTATGATTTTATGCTCAAATTGCCAAATCGAATACTCATTACCAGCCTAGGATTAATTTACATACCTGATAACAGTAAATTACTATTTCAGTTCTGTTCCGTTTTATTAAAGGAGAACGCCTTTGAGCTCCCTATTGGTAACTAAGTGGCCATAAAATGTATCGCTGCAGAATAATTTTTCTAAAAGACGTCAACTACGTGATTGCAGGCGAAAATCGAGCGACTTTTGTTTAGCCCAAACGAATACTTACACATGCTTACTCACTTAGCAAGAGTAGTATTATAATTATGGATAGTTCTGAACGTGAGCATCAGCCAAGGCTTTGCATAGTGCACTCTTCGCGTCAAACATCAAATATATAAATATGGGTGTAATAACATGACCGACAAATACGATTGAGACTGGAGTGTCCATTTCTGGTTTATTAGCCGCCACGAGCCAGTTAGACACAGTGTCA